GCAGTATCGAAAAGCAGCATTCCCGATGTGGGTCACTGAGTCTGGGATGGTCAAGTTTACCAAAGTTGTGCAATTCATAAAGGCATAATCCCCAAGGTGGGTCACAGCGTCCGGGATGGTCAACTTGGCCAATGTGTCGCAACCTTCGAAAGCGCTTTCATGAACTTGTGTTTCATCATTGGGAATTTCAACCACAAGCAACAGTTCCGAGTCAGTGACGGCACTTTTGTTGGCGGCGATGGCATCTTTGCTAGAGCATATCACAACATTTGGTTTGAAGACAACACTCGCAACAGTATCTTCAGCAATTCCAGCGTCCAATACCTTTGCATCATCGGCCAGCTAAGTGTGAGCTTGTCCCAAGCCTTTCTCTCTTTGATCTGCTGCTTGAGTGCCCGGCATGTTGTCTCTGGCATCACTTCAAATGCCTGGATTTCACCACTCGGCTGTAGCACTGAAATGTTCGTTGCCATGGCCCAAAGACGAATTTGGATTTGAATTTGAGCTCATTGCTTGTTGGCTAGCCTCAACATGCTGTCGGTCATGGACACATGCTTGGCTTCACCAGGCAAGTGCAGGGCGACACCTGTCATTGAGGAAAACATCGAACAAATGGTCGACACATGGTCCTACAAATTAAATCAGAAATTGGACTTTGCTTGTTTTTTGGTGGGAATCTAGAAGTTGAGCCCTATAGCAGCGGCGGTTCAAGCAGCACCTACGTTCATCCATCCATGTCCAGCGTCCGGTCCTGACTCCGGTCCGGTGCCCAGGTGAATCCTGGAAAAAACCGCCAGCCAGCGATGCCAGTCCATGGGACATGGGATGCGATCTGGCTGTCCACCTGACAAATGTCTATCCTTTCATCCATAAACCCAGGGCTCCAACCATCGTCCTCAGGTGGTTGGAGCCCTAGGGAGATGCCTCAGCCCAGTGCGGCAGAACTTTGGAAGATGGACGAGATCTCCAGGTCTTCGTCCGACCGGTGTCGACCGGTCCCCGGGTGTGCGCGGCGCTCCGCAACGGGGCACACCGAAGGACAGAAGAAGCATGTTTCTGAGACGGAAACCCTGGGGGACAAGAAGACTCACTCGACCTCAGAGATTTCATGGGATTTCCAAGTGTATCACTCGACCCCTGGTTCTGAGACTGGTTCAAGAACCCACATCACTCTCCCACATGAAGAGCCCTGCGACCCGGTGATCCTGCGACCTGCGACGTGCGGTACGTATGTGCTTCGTGCCTGCATGCGTGTATTTGAGCCAAAAACAACCTTAAACTTGAACGACACGTCGCAAATGAAGCTTTTGGTTCGAACATGGGGGAACCACTCGCCACATGGGGAGAAAATTTTCTGTCGATGCCCCGTTGCGGAGCCCCGTTCGCAGGCGATCGCCGGCCCTGAGCAGCGGATATCCGTATATATGACTGAGGCCCCGGCATAGGCTGTGTTGCCTGGCCAGGTCTGCAGGGGATGATGGCAAGCTCGCCCTCCACTTCCGTTGGACCATGGGCGTATTGTTTGAAATGGAACATCCCAAGTTACAGCACATATTAAACATGAACGAACACCATGGAACATGAGTGTATCAATTTGAATGGGCGTATCATTTACATAATACACGAAACCAGTTCTATTCACCGCCTTCAATGTTCAAATCATGTCCAGTCTATGGATTCCTCGATGTAAACCATTGCCAGCTGCATTCTTCTTGGACACTGAGCACGAACAATCCTTGATCATCCACTACCACATGGGCTACCTATCCGTGATCGTCGGTTCAAGCTTTCACATGCGAAATGACAATACATGTGGTTTCAAAGGTCAATGGCACAGTCCCCGGAGTCCCCAGAATCTTTGGTGGCTTGCTATATGGACCCCGCATCTGTCTCAAACATCTTGGGGTGCCAGTGCCATCGAAGCTCTGGAAGCACTGGACATGACAATAGCTTGGAATGTCTCCAGAACCTGGAGAATTTGGAGGATGACGAGGATGCGCCAAAACCTGGGTATGGCTCCATGCCATGCCATGAAGACGCCGTTTCGGGACTCGCCTTCTGCTTTGCAGGCAGCGCAAGCGGACAGGGAAGCCTCCTGGCAAACGGTGGGTGTTTGATGATGCTTCAAGAAATTTGGCTAAACACGGAGAAGGATATATACAGCAAAAGAAACACACCATGTAATAGACTATATAATTAGAAGCCACATGTGTGTTTACTTGAGAGGTTTTCCCCCAAAGACCAACCTCCTCATGCAGCTCTTCACAAGGCCGCCTGTAATTCATTGACATTGTCGTCACAGATCACCAAGTATATGGATCACCAAAAACAACTCTTCTCAGAAGGGGCAGCTAGGGTGTCCGGTGTGTCAAGCATGTATAGACTTCAAACTCCCTGGCTCACCTGAACCCGACCAAATGCACCACATCCATCTCCATTGGAATCCTGGCCTCCTCACAAGGCGTTGCCATGGTTTCTACGGTGAATATCGGAAGAGCTGGTGCTGGCTGTCTGCTGGCTGTCTGTTGGCTGTCTGCTGATTCTCAAAGGAATCCATGCCATTTCACTAGGGCACGGTATCGGAGATCAAATACATATATCATATCTACATACTGTACGACTTCTATCCTTAATACCGTGTGACCTTGTGCTGGGTGTTGCAAGGCGCTGCCCAAACAAATCCTTGGCAACTTGACCCCGGTTTAGGTCTACATCTCCCAAGTCTTGCTGTCTTGCGCTGGTCTTGCTGGGTCAGTCGTGGCTCTGTCAATGTCTCTGCAATTCATCTTTGAGCCTCGCATACGCCAACTCTCCTCACACACACATACCGAAAACAAGCATCCGCAATGGCATCTGTGTAGAAAAGAACCATGAGTTTCAAGACGTCCTACCGGGTCCTACTTGGACTTTCTGTGGCACCGGCACCAGTATAGCGCTTTGCTGACTGGCATGTACACAAAAGAATGGAGGAACGTTCCATCATCCATCAACAGGGCCCACCAACTCGAGAGCTGCAGTTTTTTCTCTCCTTTAGACTCCGTGTTTGGCCCTCTATCGCAGGGGTCAGACTCTCCATAGCAGGGGTCCAGATGTGTTTGAGGGCCCGGAGTCTTAGAGCTGTTTTATATTTTTGAATGCCAAACCTGTGGCGGTCATGTTTCGTTGGTGAAACAGCTGGGAAGCCGAAGTCGAGACGCTACTCCCCGTGGATCCAAATACCTTCTCACCTTCTCAACAAAGGTTGGTTGGCCTTGCACCCCCATCACTTTCTTAAAGCATACTTGTACGATGTCACCTACTCCATCAACACCTTGAAGAGTAAACATCCTCCCCCCCGTGGCTACGCCCCTCGCCCCTTTTGCGTTCTCCCCACCCGCAGCCCGCCGTCGAGGCTCGGCACAGTCAGGCTCCGCTCGGCTCGGTTCAGAGCTTTTCGACGCTGAGGCCCAAGTAGCGTTGGTACCTCGCTGAGGCCCAGAGGAGTCGTGGTAGCACCGTCTGCGTGGTGGTTCCAAGCCGCCATGTCAGCCAGTCGATCGATGTGTCACTTCAAAAGTCACCAAACATCGCAAGTAGCAGGTTGAACACATGATCTGACACCACCAGCCAGACCATTTGCTTCATGTTGATGCAAGAATGGGAAGATGTGGTGGTACACGGGAAACAGCGAAGAGACGAAACCAGCAATTGGGGAGCCCAGTCAACCGAGTCAACGTTGGTCCTCATGTCACCCCACGACCGTCACCCCACTCGAATCATGTCGACTTGGTCATTTGCTGAGTTTTCCATGCGACGTTTCTGGCATGACTCTCAAAAAACAATCTGCTCCATAGTGCAAACGCATATGAACACAAAGACGCCTGCCCTGGATTCCCAGTGAAATCCCCTAACCCGCACTCAGACATGTGCATTCTGTTGGTATGTCTTTGGAGCAACGACAAGAGTTCACTTCACCCAGCGTGGAACCTGGGTGCCGCAAACAATTGAACACCGCTTCAAGGTCTAGATATTCCAAACCACCTATGTATGGCCTCCTATATTGGGATGGTTTCAGGGGTCAATGTGAACATCTATTCGTTCCATGGATGGTCTGGCTACAACATCTGCGGTGGTTCCATCCGCGTGGTCTGGCTCCGTCTGCCCGAAACCAAGGAAGGCTGCTGTCTACCAAGTTGATTTTACCGATCTTGTCTAAAAACATTCTGTTTCTTCAGGTGTTCGGAGTCTGAAGAAGCTGTCTGACCTGGTGCTCGATGGATTTGATATGATTTGATAAGGTCAAACTCTGCCCAAGCCTTCCAAATGGAAGGTTCACCTGAGGACCTGGTGTGGTAGTCCGAAAACCCTTAGGAAAACAATGATTGCTTGGTAAACACTACCTAGCACTTCCAATGGGTGCCCTGTCTGGAGACCTTTTCTGTAGGGTAGGGTAGTCTATTGGACACCCATTGGATGATCGTGGTATATATTAGGTTTTACAGATTTTAACATCAGTGGTGCTTGGAATCCTCCGCTGTAGCGGAGCCTTTGACCTTTTTCGGCAGGTCGAGGCACGGTCGTGACCCCGGCGACCGACCTGATTGCCTTTGCCAGCACATATCATGAACATGTAAACCGACTGAGCTGAAGCCCCAAAATAGATTAAACAAAATGATAAGTTAAACCATAACAAACAGTTCAACTACCTGGACCATCCAAATAAGGACATCTACAAAAGAAATCTACTAATGAGTAGTATATATGTAGGGTAGTCCAGTGGACACTCAAACAGGATGGTCCAGGTACGAGGTTAGCCCTTGGACTTCATCTCCGCCGCCGCGGTGCCAGTGTCGTTGCTGATCATCACCCAACAAGGCCGCTGCTGCATCGTTGATGCTCTCCAACCTGTGTCACTGGCTGAGGACATGCATGAAGACATCTGAATACCTGCATGACTACCCATGGATCCCAGGATTCATATATATATATATATATACACAGATTCATCGCCTTTTGTAGAACATCCTAGAACATCCCCCGTGGGTGGCCTGTTGGGACCCATTTCTTAGAGACCCAGGCTGGCGGGGGATGCTAGAACAGTCATCTCCTTTCAACAGACCGTATAGCACAGACCGTGGCTGGCACAAACGACACCGCGCCGCCTGCCACCGGCGGCCGCCCAGCGCGAGGTGCGAGGGGCCGACATGACCTGGCGCTGGGCGCCGGGCAGCGCCGCTCTGCCCAGGCGACGGTGGACTCCCACAGCGCGAGATGCCCAACCGCAAAAAAGAGGTCCAACCGAAGTGAACTCACCATCTGTTCATATTTATAGTCGTCTGGGCAGGCCCAGTGGGGTTGGGACCCTGGCTAATTTGGGGTCCAACCTCATCCTAGCCACCACGCCTTAGATAAAATCTAGGAACCCAACAAAGAGCTTGATTTGGTCCATCTCAGCCAAACCCTAGATAAAATGCCTACGACCCCAACATGATACACTTTGACATGCTGGGGCTGTTGGGCTCTTAGGGTCATGACTCGAAAGGGCAAACCACCCCTGGACACCCTGCCAAAGTCGATTTGATCCCCTTTGGCGCTCAAGGTTATGTGTATTGATTGCAGTGTCGGACACGGGCAAACTGCAAATTGTTCTGGTTGCACGTTAGTGGCTTGTGGCAGACTTTGTGAGCCCATGGCATGGAGCCAACATCACATGAAAACAGCAGAAAAGGTCAGCGTACCAGGACCAGCAATTTATTCAGCTGTCATCCTCCAGCAATGTGGGGGGGTTTGATGCGTTTCCTCCTGAAACCTGTGCAAAGTGTTCAGCTGAAGTGGCAGGGGGCAACCTTCAAAGTCAAGCCAGGGCTTAAGACCTTACCTGCAGCCAAGAAAACTTCCATGGGTTTTGGTTCTCTTGGTGTGGTTTTGGTGACCCTGGCCAAACAAACCGTTTTATCCAAGATTATCCAAGTAAAATGATCTAGCAAACATGACTCAGCTAAAATGACCTAGTCCTACCTCTGTTAGTGTTATTGACTGTTGCTGGCCTAAGCAATTGACAAAAGACACGGTTGCTAAAGTGACTCGGCTAAAATGATAGGATCCTAGATCTGTTGAACTTCTGCATCTGTTTTAGTCAACCAGGGTCTAGCTCCAGGATCCAATATGATCCAAATTAGCCAACCTCTTAAACCCACTAGTGGGGTCGGCCCGCTGGCTAAAGCCAGGGGGTCAAGCCACCCCATCCTAGCCAGTGTTGCCAAACGGCTATCATATTTGAGTGGGGTGTCACCCATCAAAAGTCACCAATCTGTTACTGCATCTGCTCATGTTTGAGTCGGGTGTCCTCCATCCCCCCAAAAAAGGTTAAAGGAGATCCACTGGACTGGGTAGGGACTAGACTGGAACATCTTTCGAAAACTGTTGCTTGACATGTGTGTGAATCACCGAGCCAAGCAAATGTTCAGCATCGCCGGCGAAACTGCGCCACTGCGGCGTCTTTGGTGATTCTCTGCATGGCATGTGGCCCACTGGCTGGGTCCCAGCTCGGAAACTTTCACACGGTGTTGATCTTGGATGTGCTGAAGAAACATTTAAAACACGGAAGCACTAACATATTTATACATATTTTATATTCCCCCCAGGTTGGGATTGCCATGATTTCGCCCTAAAAACAAAGCCAAATTTGCCATGGAAGATTAACATGGAACCTGAAAACCACTGGCGCCAGTGGAGGAAGCTAGTGTTCCAAGTGTCCATTTTCATGTTCCACGGGCGTTGGGAAGCCCTCTTCCCGCCTCTTCGCTGCAACACCGCCCGAACATCCGACGCATGGACTGCGACACCGGCACCAAGCGATGAACGGAGCCCGCGGCACCGAAGAAAACTTTATCTCAGGCCTCTTTGGGTCGGTATAGGCTGTATAGGTCGCTTTAGGCTGTATAGGTGTCCTTCATTTTTCCCCTCTGACCCCCCCCAAAAAACCAACAACGAGCACTTTTTCATATACTTTGCCCCCACAAAGAACCCACCCCCGATGCTCTGCTCCCATCCTCGCCCTCGACCTCGTGCACTCGCACGCCGGGGGCCAGCTCTAGAGCACCGGACTGCAAGAGCTCCTGGGAATGAGCGGAGCAGAGCTGCTTGGAACAAAGTGCACCTGTCCCCAAAAACGCGACCTGTCTGGGAAAGACATAGCGCCGAGAGATGCTTGGCCAGAGGTGGTTAAGGCCAGGGGTCTTTCCGAGGCGGCCTTATGTTCCAGTCCCATGGAGTGTATATGTTCAATTGAGTTGGGAGTCCACCACTTATTCAATCCTGTTGCACTGGTGAAGATCGTCCATGGAACCCCCAAACCCATGGGACTGGAATCATTTGCTGACTTAAATCTGCTTAGAACATCTATAGATATTAACACACCAATCTCGGCCAAGAGAATCAACAAAGACAAAGACAATGAGAAGAGAAGCGTTTCTTTTTTTGGGGGGGTGGGGGGTAAAGAAGCGTGTGTCAGAGATGGTGTAGCCGTCCCACATCCAGGTGTCGGTGTCCAACCTTTCGAAAGACCGAGTGTTGAGGAGAGGAGAGGAGGAGGAGAGGAGAGGAGAGGAGAGGAGAGGAGTGGCGGGATCCGGAGTCCTCTTCTAAAATTTAAGACCCCTCACCTGATAGGTGAGAACAACTCGAACGAACCCAGAACGTTCTACTACCAAACCTGTTCAACGGCACGAGTCGGGAGCTCCCCCTGGGAGCTCCGAAAGCCACGTTAGTAACGGCCCACCGTCGATCACATATCGCCTCTCCTCGAGCACCGGCAAGGAGAACACGACCTGCCCGAGATGGCCCTGGTCCGGTGGGTTTCCTGAAGGGGGAGTGAGGTAAGGTTTGTTCTATTTTTCCACAGAAGGATTCGCAACAGTTTCTGTCCAAACCGTTGGAAGGGCGTCCGTGTTCTGTTTGTTTGGCCAATTTGGCCAGTTGGCCAGTTGGCTGAGTCTGTATACGAAGCCCCCCAAATGCGGAGGTTTCCGTAGGCTGGGTCCAACAGTCCTCGGCTCTGAGGAAGCACAGCAGAGGCGAAGAACAGCCCGCCTGGCCCCAAATGTAGCTGCCAGCGACTTGGATGAGTTGCTGCCTGAAGGGGCTCCCATCATCCCATCTGTCGCTTGCCGCACTCGGAAAATTATGGGCTTCTTCATTCTACACCAAGAGGCATTAGCATAGCATAGCTAAAGGAGTCTGTTCAGATCAAGTCTGCATTGCCAAAGTAATTGACAGTCTAAGAAAAACACTCCCCCATGTCTGAGCTCAGCATCGCTGGGCATTCCTGGCTCCGAAGGAACTAAGCCACCAAAGTAGACCTGGAGAAAGCAGGAGAAATGACATGCGCCAAGCGCACAGGAGTGAAGCAGGAGTGAAGCAGCCAAGGAGTGAGCAGTGGTACTTTTGGACCAGATCTTCCCGGCTCCAGTCGTACCTTCTAAGAAGGTGTTTGGAGTGGGTTTAGAGGGTCCAAATACCCTCTGAGCAGGTACTTGGAGCCCTAGGGATTGTGTAAACATGTGTAAACACACATTAAGATGTCGTGACACCTGACCCTCTGCAACAACTCAATGAGGCAAGTCGCCAGGCTTTCATGTTGACCAAACTTGGTATGCCCACGATACACGTTCACTTCTCCAATGTTCTTTATGTGCCTTTGGGGGTGGGAATTCATTCAGTCCTGCTCCCACAGCTCCTAGAGATGTCGAGCTGATACCGTGGGCCGTGTCTCATTTTATTGAAGCTGACAAACAGACTCTGCGCGGACCTTCAATGTGAATCAGGTCCCACCGGTGAGTTCTATGAAGGCATCAAATCCTCATTTATAGGTTGTCGGCTTTCATATCAAAACAGGACCATCCAAGGATCAAAAGTTTCTTCTATGATAATCAATGATAGGTCACAAAAGTATTGGTGTCTATGCTGGACTGTTTGACCTCCAAAAGCTCCATGTACCAGTCAACCTCCGCATTGCGGATGTTTCTCAAGGATGGTCACCACATGGTTCACCAAAAGCCCTGAGAGGTCTATCAACATCACTCAACCACGTCTAGGATCGAAGAAAAAAGCTGAGACACAGTGACACAGACTTAAAAACAACAGCAACAACAAGTCTGTATCATGAAGATCAACCCCTACCCGTCATGTGGTCAAACCACAAGAAACATCATGTACCAGGGCCCCCGAAACTCGGGGTGTCATGTACCATAGCTCCTTAGAGGTTATGAGGTGTCCATTAACCACCCCTAGGGCTCCAAGGACCTTCTAAGAAGGTGGGACCGGGTCCAGTCACACCGAACCTGAGCAGGTACGATTGGAGCCCTAGGGCACCCATGGCGTGTCCCGAAACCGAGAACGGTCGCCTCTTCGCCGCCGAAGGCCGGAAGCTCGCCCACACGAGGCCTTTTCCGCGGCGGGTAAGGAAGAACGCGCCGCGCCGAGAAGGGGAAAGTTCTGTGTCTTTCTTTGTTTTTTGTATCGTTGTTGTAATCCCGAGTACCGATTTAAAAACGGACCCCAATTAAAAACAAGTCATAGGTGGACAGGATGATCAACCGGTTCTTTTTTTCTCAGAGTGTTCGTTCCGGACGTTCCTTTTTATCAACGCCCTGGGCTGTGAGAATGTGGACTCATGTTGTGACCTTCGGAAGAAGCATGGAGGTTTGATCAGCGGAATCCTCACTGGGTGCGGTTGTGGTGCACGGTGGCGATCCTGCGATCGTGGTGCGGTGCAGAGTGCTGCGCGTGTGCTGCGCGAGTTAACGGTATATAACGGTATCCTTGGCCACTTGAAGTTAGACAGGTTTATGAAGGTTCCGGTTCAAGACCATCCAAGTGGCCATTTCCTGGAAAGCTTCATCCTCTCTTCAGCCGAATATACAGTATATACGGCATGAATCTTCATGCAGCAGGGAAGGGAAACCAATCCCCCAAAAATGCAGTTTCGAAGGATGTGTGATATGTTGCCTTGTGAAATACTGACACGTATTGAAACATGTCTAGTAGACAACCCATCCATCCTGCTTTTTCTATCTTTTTCTTTTGCAACAGTGGTTGGGGGATCCATTCCCAAGCTGTTTGGCCCAATTCCCCATCCCCGCGCCCGGTGAGGATCACTAGAACAGGTGCTTGCTCCTGGCACGTGGGACTGTCGCAGGACCAGGAGTCACCAAGGGATGGTTTGGAGTGGGCACCCCTATGCTCCAACTGGCATCCCGAGCCATTGACTCCTGGTGCATATTGACTCCCGAGCCCGTTCCACCTGTTCTTGTTAAGTCGGAAAGCCAACACCCCCCAAAAGGATCCAAAAGGTCTAAAGCCTATCCACTAGTGGGCATTTACCAAGAGTTCCAAGGGGGATGTGTTACGATGTTTCAATGATGTCTTTTAGTCTCAAAGTGAGTCGATAGTGGACAATGGGCACCCCGACCCTCCAATAAACACCCCTTTGACACTCTGCTCGTTGTTATATAATTATGTTCCATGACTATGTTCATGACCAGAAGACGGAGAACACTTGCCAACACCCAACTCGGTAGGTCTCACGAATTTGCGGTTTGGGTTTGGGTGCTATGACCAGCAAAATCAGCTAAATGTCTTCCCCCCAAGGCCCGACGTGTCGCTACAAGCAGCGATGTCTTCCAAACCCATCCTTCACCATGGTCCACCACAATCTATACCAGAAACTGCCCCTAAGTCGGCCGAATTCGATGTAGAACATTTACATTTCCGCAGTCGATGAGCACACACATTCACAGACCGACGTCGCTCCGAGTCCACGAGGTCCACACGTCCCGTGGCCACGGCGTCCACGCGTGTCCGACCAACCGCTCCGTGCTGGCGTCGCTGATCGCCAACAGCACGGCCTGGCGCGGTCCGTGCCGCCGGACCGCGGAGCTGCGAACGGTTCTGCGGTCTTGGGTGCTTGGAGCAACGTGAACATGGGAGGGACTGGAGGGACAAGGGAACTGGAATTTAGGGTCCTCAAATGCTTCATGAATGGGCCCATGGGAATCATGCCCCAATTTTTGCCACCTCTTGGATGGCATGCAGCATCCGCCAAGGAACTGGCAATCCGGGACACCCACTAACTGCGCTGGTCGCGGGTAGCTGAACTTGGGGGGCGCGATTCTGCACGACATTCGTTGCCCTCTAGGGATCCAGTCGTACCTTCTCAGGCAGGACTGGGCCAGGTTGAGTCGAAGGCAATCGTCGAAGGGGAACCGCTGGTGCACAGGAAGCGAGAACAGAGTGCATCATCCATATACCTACATACCCAGACATGACCCATGGGACTGCCATACATGCCGATCAGTTGGGGTGGTTTTGGGGGTCAATGTATATAGGCATATATGGCAGTCCCATGGGTCGTGTCTGAGTATATATAAGCTTGTAAGCCATACTTACCTACAGTATATGCCTTACAGTATCGCCAATCACTGTAAGCCATCATACATCTCTACTACCTTACCCCCCGGGGGAGGGTCAAAAATGTAACTTACAAATTTGGTGTGTCAAAATGCAGTTTTTGGAAAACGGTGATTTTTGAACATACAGGTCTAAAATACACGCATCTGAAAAGACAGGGGTCAAAATTGTAAGTTCTATACATTTTTGAGCCTCATGTGTTTATTGAGCCCGTGCACGCTCAAAAATTGTAAATTACATTTTTGAGGGTCAGGTGGATGCATTGGCTCCTGACCCTCAAAATTGTAGCTTACAATTTCCAATGTGTAATGATCTGTAATGACAACCTCTCGGTTGAGCCATTTGTGCTGCCTTGACCTGGGAAAGCTGATTCGAAGTTACGAAAGCAAAGCAAAACGAAAGTAAAGCCAAGTCGACCCGGTGAAGTTGTAACTTGCTCTGTTGGGCACCTGCCCATCCATTATAACAATTTTGAACCGGCCCTGCTTTCAATCTCTCAAGAAGTAGACCAAGACCTCTTTGAGGGGGGTGGTAAAAGACATAACATCCTCACATAGGCTACCTCAACCTTAGATCCAACAATTTCACCCCGCCCACTATAGTTATATAAAATGCTATCATCGTAAAATCAAACATTGTAAGTTGCACGGGGCCATACTTACAAAGGCATCCCAATCCTGAATCCTATGGAATCCTCAATGCTACCGTCGATGAAACATGACCTCCAAACTAAATGTGTTTTGCTTAGAGTAAAGAGCGTGGTACCATTCTTTATGCCGTGGGCTAGTTGTCTTCAGAGAATGCCTGTCAAATCAAGCACACCTCAATCGGTTTCGAAGGACTTCTACCAAAAAATGATAAAACACAAACACATAGCCTAGCTAGCTAGATGATTCTAAATGACTCTAAATGAACCTCCCATCTGATTCAATCCATGAGCCCATTTTACTCAGCCCGCACGATACTCGCGTCTTGCGCACGCGGCTCGGTTGGCCCCATGCCTTGTGCAAATACTGCGCGGGTGGACGACTGCGGCGGCGGACGACTGCATCGAGGTCTGACTGCGCCCGCGAGTGAACGTTGGGGAATGGCATTACGCACGAAACGAACACATCACATGTGAAGTGGAGTTCACCCACTGTTTTGCAAAGGTTCCTATCGTCTATCATGAGTCTCCTTAAGAAACCCATTTCCACCATACCAGTCAGAGTGTAAATGGTCTTAGCAGTGCTGAAAGGCACTGCTAACTATATATTGAACTTCTAATATAACAGTCGGAGAGTCGGACGCCTGTTGCATATATTCTATGTTCTTTAAGATGCCTATGGCCTATGGCCCTGGCTATGATCGTAGCTGCCAATCACACCAAAAGGAATGCAGGATCCTTGCCAGGACGCTGCATCATTCCACCACTACTCTGTTTCCATGAGCTTTGAGCGTGTCGAGTGTGGTAGCATCAACATGGGTAGGATGGGTTTTGAAAGCCGAAGGTGTTCTTGCATTCGGCAAAGACGCTTGACCCCGAAAAGTGCATGTCCCCATCTTTTTCGGATGTTTCTATCGTTTTCTTGAGGGTTTCTTTTCTGTGCGAATGCATCATAGAACATCATAGTTACTTGCTGTCGTCCTCATCTCTCCGTGATGGTCAAGCCATATTATGCCGAGATGACCGAGATATATGGTAGGCTGTATATCGAAGGTGAGCTTCAGTGAGAAGCTGCAAGGTGGCAAGGTTTAGAACGTCCAAAAGCAACCAACACGGCGTTTCGTTTTCGTAGCGTCCTTGTTCCGTTCGTAGCGAAGCCCCCAGGTTCGTGGCGTCCTTGTTCCTAGCCATGTCAATAATGGTCAAGATCATGGAATCTCAAAGGCCCTTGGAACAAAACAGGGACCTGGACTCCACCTGGATCACCCGCATCACGTGACGATTCGAACGTGACGTCGAATTCCGGCCACGAGGTCAACCTCACCGGCACGGCCAGGTTTCGCTAAGGGCCTCTGCTCATTGCGCCTCCTGAGGTGGCACGAGCGACGTGGGATTTTTTCGTCACAGAGCCGTGGTTTCGACTGGTGGGACCTAGGTTCGCCATGACAGGTGAGTCGAGGCGGATGGCTCCAAACACGAGCCCTAGGGCTCCAAGTACCTGCTCAGAAGGTATTTGGACCCTCTAAACCCACCCCAAACACCTTCTTAGAAGGTACTTGAAGCCCTAGGGCAGGGCAAGGGATGGCAGATCCAGGGACGGCAGGGCAGCAAACGCGCTCTGCCTGCGCTCCACTCGAAAAACCAGGCTCCCGTTCTCGGTCTGGCTATGTCCCAAACAGTTGAAGCCATGCACCCGTGTGAGCATGGTAATTCACCTCCCGGGGGTGTATGGCAATCCCTACAGATCCAAGTACCTCTGAGGGACAAAGGTACTTACTTGGGACCTCACAGCCTACATCAAAGTGTCTCCAATCACCATGACCTCAGAGGGTGGTAGTGGATGCAACATAGGCAACTGTTGGTTAAAGGCAACATCCAACAATCAACATGGATCCTTTAACCATGGTTCATAGGCAATCATAATACTCTGTTGCTTAAAGGTAGTCATCATGTAAGAATTCTTTCGAAGGAACTATCCACCAAAGAATGGTCATGTAACGGTCATGTTCCCACTTGTTCTCCTTGCTGCTAGCATTGCCATTCATCTACATCCAAATTCAAGCATCCCAACGTATGGCTGCATCAAAAAGCCCAAACACTCCATGGGACTGGAGATGGTCCGTCCCAGGAAGACCCCTTTTCTTTCTCAAAGACTCCCCAAATGACTGCCAGCCTATGCCATTCCCAAACAGGTCATGTCTGATCCTAGACCAAGTATTCGCTGAACAAATGGAGCCGAGCGCCGGGTGTTCGCTGTCTGCACCGAGTGACGGCCTCATCTCACTGGAGCCTCCAAGGATCCTGCGATGGGAGGTCGGTGAAGTGTCCCACGCGAGAAGAACCAACAAAGCCAGTATAAGGCCATAGCCTTGAGCTTTGATTGGTTAAAGAACGATTCTAAGATTGACCTTTGACCTGGTTTTGTAGTGGACACATCTGTTAAAACACTTATATATAGTTAGTTATGTCAGTTATGGTTTCAGAGTAGATGGCACCAAACTTGGTGATCGTGCCATCGACTTTCAACCCACTTGGTAGATCTACACCCACACATGCCCATAAACACATACACACACACCCTGCCTGTAGAAAACCTACACCAGGACCCCCCTGGTAGGGGTCCCCCAATGGGGTCGGGTGTCCATGTTTTCCAGGGGGTCCTGGTATAGGCTTGCAGTGACCTTGTTGGTAGTTGCAGCTGTTCAGGATCCTTAGGGGGAAGTGGGAGATAAAACGGTAGATTTGGATAGAATTGGCACTCATGGCGCAAATTTGGGAGGAAAGTTGGTCTTGTTCGGTTTCCTTATGCTGAAGTAACAAAAGAACAGTGGGTTCGACGAGAATTGACGTTCTACATCGTCCCTCTTCGAAGGTTACCCTTGCGACTGCCTTGCTTGACGCTGTGCATCTTCTTCCGCTTTTGTGTGTGTCAAGCAATTAGAAGCTTGATATGGGGCTGAGGCTGAATGAGGCACAATTTACAAATTGCCAACACTCAACCCCCCTGCCAACACTAAAAGCCTTTTCTGCCACTCACTTCTTCTGGCCGAAGAGTTTTCTAGGTTTGCTTAAGCATAGAGAGGAGAACAACAAATAAAAGAAAACAAACTACTGTAACTTCAGACTGTAACCGACCATGAGCCATCCGTTCCGCCGCGTGTTTCACAGCCTTTGGCAGCCGCCCTCATTCCTCTTTCGGCAACACACTCCCTTTGGGAGGTGCCTCCAACTGGGTCGTCCCAAGGGCGGGGCAATGAGTCCAAAGTGGTGAAGGTAAGTCGGAACGGGGCAGGTTGAGAAGCCTGAGGCCTAGATAGGCCTTGACTCCCTGAAAGTAAACCCGGATTTCAGAAGTCATCCAAATTCAGGGCCATGCTATCCACGTAACCATGTTGATTTCAGGGAGTGTATTTCTTGTTGGTCAGTCCTTGATGCTTGCTCATCCGGGTCGATTTTGGATAAACATGTGCCCCAATACTCCAGCTCGGCCAAGGGGACTTGAAATGAACTTGAAAGGTTTGGGAAGGGGAACTCGAGTGGTGCCTAAATTGCCTTTCAACCAAGATAACCAAGGACTACTCCAAGGACTCTAATAGAAAATTACTATATACATGATACAGTCAGCGTGTGTGTATATGTATATAGTATAAACAATTATACAGTCAGTATTTCTACAGTATTTGTAATATTCCCCTTTGAGATGTTTACGGCTCAAACAACCCTGAGGTCTTACAAAAACACCTGTGTCTTAGCCCTTGGACGGTCCGCATGCTATGACCGCACGGCGTGAGCACGCCCATCCTTCAAATCTGCGGCGAAGGGACAAAAGATGCGCCACTGTAATGATGTAGTACTCCGGAGCCCGCGAACCGCGTCAGGATCAACACCTACATCCCCGGTGCTTTTCAACATCTGAAACCCCCGCCTGCAAATCGCGTGGCTTAGAACTTCCCCCTCCAGTCTGTGCAAATGCAGCTGACTTTTTGTGCCACAAGTATCCTGGTTCTAGCCTTCTAGGCGGTGTGTGCGCGGACATCGCTCACCAAAGTCGCCAAGGGTCCAAGAAGCAAGATCTTTAAAAACGCACACCTTTCCCAGGGCATCCAGTTACCACTATGGCTGGTAACCAATGGTTCCAAAGACTAAAACCATAGACCTAGAATCCCTGGTTCCTTATATAGTGGTAACTGGCATCCACTGGGTTTGATTTGCAGTGTTTGGCCCGGTGGCAGTGATGGCCATCGATGCTGGGCTTTTGGATCCTTCGCCTGCCTTGGATCCTAAGACCTTTGATCCCTTCGCCGCTTGAAAACAAGCACGAAACCCACCGACCTTCTGCGTGCTGAAACACGAGCGCCCGAGCCGGTGAAAACCCACGGGCTCCCAAGTGAGAGGTTGAGAGACCCTAAACCCTGGAACCCCCCAACACATTGGGGGTGGATCCTTCTGGTTCCTTCTACATCTGGGTCCCAGGCGCCGGGTCGGGCAACCTCTCCACGTCGGGAGGTCCCTGGATCCACCGGATCAGGTCGTCAGGGCTCGTCTCGTCGACGCGGTGCTCGACCCGTCGACCGCCTCAGACCGAGCTCCTCCCAGCCGCAGCCTCCGTCCAGCTCGACCGGCATGATTCAAGCAGCCGCAGCACCATGCAACTTGACTGAAAGCCTACACTACACCTTGACTGAAATGGGTGGCCTCTCTCCAAGAATCACGGATTCTTGGACGATGGATGACAATGGCGCTCCTAGAAAGACCATTCTCCTCTACAAGCAAGGGGTGAACATGGGTGAACTCCACTTCCATGTTTGTTGCAAGGGGGGTGCCGGACATGTTTTTTCTTTAATCCCAAAAGGTGCATTGAACCGTATCCGCTGTTTTTCCCAAGTCTATCGCCCCCACCTCTTGGATTGGCTGAGGGAAGCCAAGTTCAACCAGTAACAACATAACAAAAACATTATCCCGGCCAAAGACCCCAAACAGTGTGTGTGTGAGGTCTATAAGCAGAAAGTCTAGAGATCACACTGTTTGGGGAACGTGTGGACTTTGTGGACTGATGGGTCAAACTGCACCTCATCAAAATAAAAGGCAACCGCGCTATCTTTTGGGACCACTTGTTTACATAATGTGTTTACCAACTGTTATAAATAATAGGACACACCCAATGTAGGGACCAGGTTCTTCCGGTGAATGTGGCTCCGTTCTTCGGGTGAATGTCTCACTCGTCGGTGCTTGACGGTGGGAGATCAGGTCGACCCTGCAGCCTGTGATGGAGAAGACTTGAGGCGAAGACCCTTCAGCAAGCAAAGAAGCAAACAAACCTTCGATCCAAGTGCAAAAGGAACCAAACAAACCTTCGATCCCTTGAGGGATCCAAACAAACCTTCGATCTGCTCGATCCAAGTGCAAAAGGAACGAGAACAGCAGGGAGCAAACACGTTGTTTTATCAGGCACAGAGGGTGAAGAGGATTTAAACATGGACGACTTTCAGTGGTCTGAGGTGGGCAGGATTATGTAACATAAATATGTAGTACATTACAGAAGGACATGTT